GAGCTTGGTTCAATACTGAGATATGGCATACCGGCACAAAGAACATACATTGTACTTGATTCCAACAGCCAGCTAATCCTGTCTTATGGAGGTACATAAGGAAGCAACCATAGGGAGCTGCCGGAGTGCTCGCAGAGTGCCGTGCGCATGCTGGCAGGCTACGGACTGTCATGCCATGAGCACAACTCGCAACCTGTGCAATGTGCGGCACACAGCGACATGTCGTGCACAGTTGCCTGACTTGTTGTTGACTGCCAGGTGTTGCAGCTCCCAAGCCCTCCTTACACGCAAGGACGGCGGCAACAGCTGAGGTCGGCAGAGGGTATGGGGCAAGGGGTATTGCTGAAGGCAGTCTCGAGAGGAGGCTGAGACTGCTCCTGCACCGCGGCGTGGCGGATCCAGTCGTAGATCTGCTTTTGTGCAGCTGGAGGGGTGGGGAGTGGGGCGAGGGAGAACAAGGGAGTGAGTGGAGAGCAAGGGTATGAGCATGGCAGGAAGGACAGTGCACAGCAGTGGGATGGGTGGGGAAGCAGGTTGTTTTGAAGGATGAGGACAACACCTGGAGACAGTGCGGAGGGTATGGGGTAAAGCAGGGCAGGGGATGGGGGGAAGAAGAGAAGGGGATGGGGGAAAGCAGGGAATGGGATGGGGGGAAGCAGGGAAGGGGATTGGGGGGGAGCAGGGAAGGGGACATGGGGAAGGATGGATTGGGAATGGGGGGATGCAGGTAAGGGGAAGGGGGAAAGCAGGGAAGGGGAGGGGGGAAAGCAGGGAAGGGGATGGGGGAAAGCAGGGAAGGGGATGGGGGGAAGCAGGGCTTGGGAATGGGGGGAAGCAGGGAAGGGGATGGGGGGAAGCAGGGAAGGGGATGGGGGAATGCAGGGAATGGGATGGGGAAAAGCAGGGAAGGGGAAGGGGGAAAGCAGGGAAGGGGATGAGGGGAAGCAGAGAAGGGGATGAGGGGAAGCAGGGAAGAGGAGGGGGGGAAGCAGGTAAGGGGACGGGGAGAAGCAGGGAAGGGGATGCAAGGAAGCAGGGAAGGGGACATGGGGAAGCAGGGAAGGGGATGGGGGGAAGCAGAGAAGGGGATGGGTTGGAGCAGGGAAGGGGATGAGGAGAAACAGAGAAGGGGATGAGGGGAAGCGGGGAAGGGGATGGGGGAAAGCAGAGAAGGGGATGGGGGAAAGCAGGGAAGAGGAGGGGGGGAAGCAGGGAAGGGGATGTTGGGAAGCAGAGAAGGGGATGGGGGGGAGCAGGGAAGGGGATGGGGGGAAGCAGGTAAGGGGATGGGTTGGAGCAGGGAAGGGGATGGGGGGAAGCAGAGAAGGGGATGAGGGGAAGCAGAGAAGGGGATGAGGGGAAGCAGGGAAGAGGAGGGGGGGAAGCAGGTAATGGGATGAGGGGAAGCAGAGAAGGGGATGAGGGGAAGCAGAGAAGGGGATGAGGGGAAGCGGGGAAGGGGATGGGGGAAAGCAGAGAAGGGGATGGGGGAAAGCAGGGAAAGGGATGAGGGGAAGCAGGGAAGAGGATGGGGGGGAGCAGGGAAGGGGATGTTGGGAAGCAGAGAAGGGGATGGGGGGGAGCAGGGTAGGGGATGAGGGGAAGCAGAGAAGGGGATGAGGGGAAGCAGGGAAGAGGAGGGGGGGAAGCAGGTAAGGGGACGGGGAGAAGCAGGGAAGGGGATGCAAGGAAGCAGGGAAGGGGACATGGGGAAGCAGGGAAGGGGATGGGGGGAAGAAGAGAAGGGGATGGGTTGGAGCAGGGAAGGGGATGAGGAGAAGCAGAGAAGGGGATGAGGGGAAGCGGGGAAGGGGATGGGGGAAAGCAGAGAAGGGGATGGGGGAAAGCAGGGAAGAGGAGGGGGGGAAGCAGGGAAGGGGATGTTGGGAAGCAGAGAAGGGGATGGGGGGGAGCAGGGAAGGGGATGGGGGGAAGCAGGTAAGGGGATGGGTTGGAGCAGGGAAGGGGATGGGGGGAAGCAGAGAAGGGGATGAGGGGAAGCAGGGAAGAGGAGGGGGTGAAGCAGGGAAGGGGACATGGGGAAGCAGGGAAGGGGATGGGGGGGAGCAGGGAAGGGGGTGGGGGAAAGCAGGGAAGGGGATGGGGGGGAGGAGAGAAGGGGATGGGGGGAAGCAGGGAAGGGGATGGGAGGAAGCAGGGAAAGGGATGGGGGGAAGCAGGTAAGGGGATGGGTTGGAGCAGGGAAGGGGATGGGGGGAAGCTGAGAAGGGGATGATGGGAAGCAGGGAAGAGGAGGGGGTGAAGCAGGGAAGGGGACATGGGGAAGCAGGGAAGGGGATGGGAGGACGCAGGGAAGGGGATGGGGGAAAGCAGGGTAGGGGGTGGGGGGAAGCAGAGAAGGGGATGGGGGAAAGCAGGGTAGGGGATGGGGGGAAGCAGAGAAGGGGATGGGGGAAAGCAGGGTAGGGGATGGGGGGAAGCAGAGAAGGGGATGGGGGAAAGCAGGGTAGGGGATGGGGGGAAGCAGAGAAGGGGATGGGGGAAAGCAGGGTAGGGGATGGGGGGAAGCAGAGAAGGGGATGGGGGAAAGCAGGGTAGGGGATGGGGGGAAGCAGAGAAGGGGATGGGGGAAAGCAGGGTAGGGGATGGGGGGAAGCAGAGAAGGGGATGGGGGAAAGCAGGGTAGGGGATGGGGGGATGCAGTTACGAACTGCTGCATATTGGTGACAAGTTTGACATGGCGCTACTCAATGATCCCCATCGACCCATCATTCACTGCCCCATGCCCCAGCACTCCCCTCCGTCCATGCTCACCTGGTGGAACAGGTGCCTGCAGCAGTGCATGCGGCGCAGCCAGGCAGCATCTTCAAACTCCACCAGGCACACGCAGCACTCAGCTGCCGTTAGACAATCACATGTTACGCCACCTCACTGGCACCACCCGTGCCGCAACTACAAGCCGCTTTCGGACTGCCCTGTAAGCATCGCAGCCGATAGTGTGCAGTGCCTCTCACCACCCGGTGAGGCCCATTTAGAACGAGCATCTGGGGATGGCAAGGTCCTCTTGTCAGCACGAGCCCCTGACTTGTCCTGTGACTCTGTGCCTTCCTCAGCCGGGGCTTCCTCTCCTTGCACCGCACTTGACCCATCCGCAATCCCCTTGTGCTTCTGATCACACTCTGCATCCCCGACGTCTCCTGAATGTCTTCAACCTCGCCCTCACCCTCACTTCGTAATCCACAGTTAGGTTCTGCGAATGCCAATTCAGAGTCTGAGTGGGACTCAGTGTTCCTGCCGTTGCTTGGTAGTTTCAACCCCGCTACAGTCACATCTGTCAGCGTCACCCATTGCCCTTGGCAGTGCGGGGAGAGCTCATTGCGCTTCCACGCGCATCTGTGTCTCGCGCTCGCTTCGCATCCGCGGACGTCACGAGGTCCCATAACACCCCCTGCAGCTTCGGATCCAGCGCCTCCGCCAGCCGGCTGCGCGCAGCCCTCCCGCGCAATGCGCGCTCGCGCTCCCTCGCACGCTCCGCCCGCGCCTCGGCCCAGACTACACGGAACAGGCGGTAGGCGCAGACGAGAAGCATGGACGCGACGAGCACGCCGAAGGCGAGGAGAATCCCGACGTCCTTGGCCACTAGGAATGGGGCATTGGCTGGCTATGGCTTGGCAGGGCATGGCTTATAAGGGCATCCGGAATGCGGAGGGTCAGGCCGTAGGGCGACGGCAGATTAGGGTATCACGGGGATGGGTAAGATCAAGGCTTGGGCGTGGCTTGGAAAATAGGCGGCGCGGCGAATCATGCGTGCGGCTGAGAGATCTATGTCGTACGATCAGAGCGATCATTGGGCCGAGGTGAGATTGGGGCTGCGGGAAAAATGGCGCTGGTAGAAAAGAGATCAGGGTGTGGCGCTGATGCGAGAGCAGCACCCTATCCGGTAACACGGTCGGCGAAACCTAATGCGCCCGTGGTTGCTGGAAGGACAACCTGCGTTGCGCCTTTTCCGCAAATAGCAATCTATGGTCCACGCCCTTTGACTTGACCACTGACTGGAAAGGAGCAGGAGTGGAAGGACGAGACGGGGATGCGACTGGGACTCATAATCTTTCTGCGACGAGTCATTGAAGACTGCCATGTTTGTAGCAATTGCCGGCAAGCGTGTGCGAATGGGGGAACCTAATCGACCAGCAACATAGCTCTAGACGTGGGGATATAGCAGGGCGGACCAAGCCTGTTCGTATGTGAGTTGTGTGCCTAGTCAGAGTGATTATTTGGGCGTGAACTTCGGGCGGAATAAGTCTAGTATGCTTGACAATTAGTACGAGATGGTTTTCAAGTTCACTTCAAGTGAACAGTGCTGCCTTGCCAGCTGATCCTCTGCTCGATATGACTTTGAGTGTCGCTGTCCAATCACAAATCACCTTCGTGCGAGAATGCTCCATATCTGCTGGTAACATGGTTTTTGGCGAATTCATATTCAGGAATCTTGAACTTGAAAATAGCCATGTAGAACTCGGGCTTTAAGGAAAGAAAGTGATTTCCTTACACCAAGGGTGCCCTTCAGGCCTAGCGCTGCGATTTGGGAAATGTGGAGGCGTAGAACTGGGTCGCAGGAACAGTGTCGAAGGCGAGTATTGCGAGTTGGTAACAGGACACTGTTTGGATGAAAGTGGCAGCAACAGTGTTGTACGCGGTAGTGATGATGACTAGAAGTAGGAAATGGTTATTTCCTTACATAAACATTATATAAACGAACATCAAAACCATTCAAAACCGAGCCACCACTGTACATGTCGCCCAGTCACACTAACATGCCGCGTCGCGGTGTGCAGCGGTGAAACTAGTTCAGGTTGCCTGAACGATCTCAACCTGACGCTACGCGTTATTCCTTCTGCTGCTGAAACCATTTCTGTCAGCTAGCATTTTATGGCACATTGCAACCCTATTTGCGTGTGCTGAGCTCCTTCATCCCCGCAGCAGAAATCCTTGCATTTTCTGCTCCGTCCGTCTCAGTCGACCCGCTCGCGCCGCACATCATGGCCAACCCGCTCCTCACGCCGTTCACTCTCCCGGATGGCACGGAGCTCTCAATGCGCATCGTCTACGCGCCGCTGACTCGCGACCGCGCCCTCGGGACCATCCCGCAGCCGAACGCCGCAATTTACTACGGGCAGCGCGCGCACAAGGGCGGGCTCATGCTCACCGAAGCCACGTGTATCTCGCTCGAGGCGCACGGGTACCCCGACACTCCGGGGATCTACACGGACGCGCAGATCGCGGCGTGGAAGCCGGTGATCAAGGCGGTGCACGACAAGGGCGCGCGCTTCTACTGCCAGCTGTGGCACGTCGGCCGCGCGTCGCACCAAGGTGAATCCCGCTCGTGCTAAGGTGTCGACGACGTCGACCGCCGTCGCACCAAAGCGACATTGCTGCACAATGCGACATTGCTGCATCGCTATACGACATTGCTGCATCGCAATGCGACATTGCTGCATCCAATGATGGAAGGAGACTCTTACCCTGGGGAATCATCGTGGAACCTGGGGTTGACGTTCAAGATGAATGTCATTCGCGTTAATTATCTCGCGTTTCACTTCCACATTGGCGATTCCGATCACTCACCCGCTTCGTCCCTCACCCTATCATCACGATGCGACCCGACCCCACGTACTAGTTCCCCTTTTTCTCTCCGAGAGTCTTCGCGCATCCACAACTGTCGTTCCTCATCGCTGCTTCGCTCCTTCCTCTCGTCCTCGTCGTTCGCCTGCCCCGTCCCCCCCCCCCGCTGCGCGCCAAACAGAGTACCAGCCTGATGGCGCCGCGCCGTTGGCTCCGTCCGCCATTCCCATCCGTAGCGAGGACAAAGTGTACATCAGCACTGGCGCCGCGGACTACCCGACGCCCAGGGCCATGACCGCCGAAGACATTAAGAAGGTAGGGAGCTGCCGCGCGGCTACGAGCAGTGCATGATAGGTTGGCAGACGGACGTGATGGAAGGTACGAAACGGAAGCTATGTGTCTAAGGCGTAGTTTATTCCCTCGGCTCAGGACTAAAGCGGCAGGCGAGGCTGCATAACGCGTGTTCCGCATGGTCTCATCTCCGCTATCGTTCGTGTCGACCCTGCTCGTTCCACTTTACAATGGCGAACCCAGCTGACCAAGCTGTACCGCGCGCCGTGCAGTTCCTGCAGCCTGCTTGCTCTACCCCCGTTGCCCCGTCTCCATAATTTGCCTGTTTCCATCGTCGCAATGTCACCCGGCACGGGTGACTCCAGGCTAACGAGCAGTTCCACGCGGCTGCGCGGTGTGTAGTATTCCCATGATGCGCTTCCGCTGCGCTGCTATCCATCTTGTGCGTCCCATTTCCCTTGTCCCACTCTGTTTCATGTTTTTTTTTCTTGTTCTTTTCCCTCAACATCGCTAATATCAGCCACGGGTGGTTCCTTCCAGGTGACGGAGCAGTTCCGCGTGGCGGCGCGCAACGCGATTGACGCGGGGTTCGACGGCGTGGAGGCGCGAACGGTTACCTGCTGGAGCAGTTCCTCAAGGTGACGACGAGGGGGCCACCGTTTGCGCGATTCTGTAACGTTAGGTTTACCGCAACGAACGAGTACCTACTGTAGCAGTTCATCAAGGTGAGATGTGACGGGGCAGGGTGTTCTGGTGAAGCAGCGTATGGCGAAACTGTAACATTTATGATTACCGAAGCGAACGAAACGGGTACCTGCTAGAGCAGTTCATCCAGCTGAGACGACCGCGACTAGCTACAGTGATGAGCGGGTTATTATTCGTGCCGAAACTGTAACATCTTGAATTACCTAAGCAAACGAGCTGAAGCAGTCTCTTAAGGTGAAATGACTGCGCCTCGTGGCGGTTGTGAGTATAATGCAGAGCGGAGATGCTGGGGACTACCTCCAATTGGTGAATGCGTTCAAAATACAGCCATTAGCCTAAACAGCTTTTATTCCCCTCTTCTCGTTTTGTGGCATTCATCACTTCTCTAACCTTTTCCAACCTCCTCCACCTGGACCTCCACCCAGCCCAGCAGCAATGAGCCTCCGGACAAGTTTCTTCAGACTCGAGCCATCTCACCTTGTTATCCCCACTCTCTTTCTCCCGCCACTCTTTCTCCCGCCACTCTTTTTCCCGCCGCTCTTTCTCCCGCCACTCTTTCGCCCCGGGCCCTCCCCCTCTTCCTTTGTGATTCCGCCTCCCCTCCCCCCTCCCCCATCGTCAGGACGGCAGCAACAAGCGTGCGGACGAGTTTGGCGGCTCCCTGGAGAACAGGCTTCGCTTCCCCCTGCAGGTGGGTATGGCTGCTGTGACTTCAAGGGGGGTGAGGCTGCTGTGACTTCAAGGGGGGTGAGGCTGCTGTGACTTCAAGGGGGGTGAGGCTGCGTGCCCTGCAGGTGGGTACAGGTTACAGCTGCTGTGACTGAGAGGGGCGATTGTGGCGATCTTCGCCATAAGGGACGAGCATGGTTTGCTACGCATGCTCATGCCCAACAACCCCTGCCCCATTCTGTTTCTTTCTTAACCCATCTCCGTATTCCTTCTCCCGCCATCTCCTCCTCTCCAACTCCATCTCCTCCCAACCCTCCGTCCCCCCATCCCCCCTTGCAGGTGATCAAGGCACTGGCAGACGAGGCGACTCAAAAGTCATCCGGTCCCCTCTCCACCCCCCACCACTCCCCAGGTGATCAAGGCAGTGGCGGATGAGGTGGGCGCCAGCAAGGTGGCTTCTGATTTGACTCGAGTCACCTTTGTCCCCTTTCTTCCTCCCCTTGTCTCCTCCTACCCCTCCACCCTCCTCCCCCTCCCCCAGGTGATCAAGGCAGTGGCGGACGAGGTGGGCGCCAGCAGGGTGGGCGTGCGCCTGTCGCCGTACAGCACCTTCCTGGATGCTACCGACTCCGACCCCGTCGCCACGTACGTGGGCATGGTGGAGGCCGTCAACGGCATGGGCCTGGCCTATGTGCACTTCATCGACGCCCGTGTGCGAGGCAACGACGACATAGAGACTGTGAAGGAGGTGAGACGCGCATTGGCGGTGGGTGGGTGTGAGGGTTGTGTCTTCCTGTCTAGCTCGGCGTATGTGCACTTCGTGGAGGCCTGCGTGCAGGGCTGGCTAACGATGGCCTGTGAGGGAGATGAGAGGCGCGTAGGAGGTGAGTGGTGCGTGTGAATGAGGATGTGACGGAGGCTCCCAAGGGGAATTCAGGATTGACTGCTTGTGCTGTGAACGAGTTGAGGTTGGGGTGGGATATGGAAGAATTTTCAGGCGCCTCAAAATTTGTGTTGTGAAGGAGTTTATGCTGGGCTGCGATATGGAAGACCTGGTGGAGGTAAGTGTGGGGGTGGGGCACATCGCACAAGTCACTCTATGCTTGCTGGCATGCTTGGTTGGTGCTGCAGCTTTCCGTTACGGTTGCTTCCTCCCCTTTTGCACCCTCTCTGCAGACTTTGGAGCCGCCCGTCGTTGAGACGATTTGCTGAGACGATTTTGCACTCTCTCTGCAGACTTAGATCTTGTTGCCGTTGCTCCCTCCCCTCTCCCCTGCCCCCCAACTCCATTCACGCTATCTGCAGACTCTGGAGCCATTCCGCAAGGCATTCAAGGGGCCCTTCATTGCTGCAGGCGGCTACAAGGTATGCTGGGCCCAGTCTGTTGTGCCACCAGTGCTGCATTGGTGTGGTGACTCCACAATCGTGGCAATGCATGCTGAATGGCAATGCATGTTGAATGGCAATGCATGCTGGATGGCAATGCATGTTGAATGGCAATGCATGCTGGATGGCAATGCATGTTGAATGGCAATGCATGTTGAATGGCAATGCATGTTGAATGGCAATGCATGCTGAATGGCAATGCATGTTGAAGCAGCAGTATACATTTGGCATTACTGTTGGAGTTTGTACAGTGCCCAAAACGATTTCGCCCCAACGAAAGTACCATTTATAAACCTTTGGCATAGGCCCTGCCAAATGTGTACTGCTTCTTTGAATGGCAATGCATGCTGAATGGCAATGGTAATGCATGCTGTATGACAATGTATGTTGTATGACAATGCATGTTGTATGACAATGCATGTTGTATGGGAATGCATGCAACAGCGCTCGCTGTGCAGTTGCCGATGGGCATAAGGTGAATGCATCATGTGATTGTTAAGCAATGCATGCTGCGCTTTCTAATGGTTATCCCGTATTACAACACGTACGTTTCGTGTGCTGCATTCTATCCATATTCTATGCTTCTCTTCCAAGTGGACGCCCCTTTCAACTTGCATGCACACAACCCCACCCTCTCTTCCCCCCCTCTCCGTCTCTACCGCCAACTCTCCAAATCCTCCCCACTTTGCTCTCCTCCCATCCCCTCCAATCCCCTACTGTTGTCCAAACCTCCAGAGGGAGAGTGGCATGGCAGCGATTGAGAGCGGTGCGGCGGATCTGATCACGTACGGCCGTCTCTTCCTCGCCAACCCCGACCTGCCGAGGCGCTTTGAGCTCAACGCACCGCTCAACCCGTACGACCGAAGCACCTTCTTCATCCCGGACCAGGTCAAGGGCTACATTGACTACCCTTTCCTGGATGAGGAGCCTAAGAAGGCAGAATAGACAGGGATCTGTGTCTGTCTGACAAGAGGCACGCTGAATCGTACCTACCAAGTGCGTCGCATTGTCTTCGTTAGTGGGGATCAGGTCAAGGGGTAGATTGATTTGACTACCCTTCCCTGGAGGAGCCTGAAAAGGCTGGATAGCTGAGATGTGTGTATGGCAAGAGACATATTGGTTCTTACCTCAGGAACGTTGATATTTAACTGAACAAATACCATGACAGGAATCTGAAGGGCAAGTCATTACTATCAATCAATATGCCATAACCAGCTGGTTATAAAACACAAATACCAATCGCGATGTAGGAAACACACTCTACGGTATTGTTATTCCATCGACTCCTAAAGGAGCACAAGCAGCGCAATCAAAGAAAGACCCAGGGCCAAAAGGTTTCCATACATCGCAAAACTGCCAGCACCTGCAAAACCAAAGGAAAATATATATTAAAAAAAAAACGTTAATGAAGCTGACAGGGTATTGCCGCAACAGCAGCTCAGGTTTGGACAGCGGCAGTCGCAATGCATGGGCATGCATCAACAAGAGGACACGCCACTGCACCTCAGCCAGTGTCCATTCGGCACTCACAGGAGCTTCTACGTCTCGAAATTCCTGTCGCGGCATAATTGCTGAAAAAAAAACAGCAAATCGCTCTCAAGGCCCGCTTGTACTATCCACACCCCGCAACGCACCTTTGCCATACGGTTGCACAGGATCGGAGCTGGTAAGCGAGCTCATGGTCGCGGGGAACACGGGGTCAGACACAACAATCGCGGACATGTCAGATGACGACGTGGTCTTGCCCAGCACTTGAGTGGAGCTGGCAAGACCAAAGACGGCTGTCACATCCCCCACTGCCTTCGGCCCTCCAGCGCCACTGCCCGCCACGAGTCCATTCTTCTTGTACGTAGTCGGGTCAACGGCGCCACGGTCGGTCCCGGTGAAAATGTGATCTATCCCGCTGCCGGTTGTGAGGACGCCGGTGACGTTGGCGTAGAGATAGATTGGCTGGTTGAGCGCCGTGTTCAAGCTGAACCGCCCGTTCTTGTACTGCTTGGGAGGGAAACGGATGCGTAATGATGAGAATGGGACGATCGGCGAGATGAAATGACGAGGAAAGAGATTGGGAGTGAATCATCAAACATGGAATGGTGGAGCAGATGCAAGAAAACTAGGAATTGGTTTTTGAGAATTCAAAAAAACCAGGAGATGCAGGGAAGTAGGAATTTGCCTATCCGCGCCGAGTTTCCGGGCCACTCACGTTGCCAGTTTGCATTTCGGTGGGTCCGACGTATTCGCGAACAGACATGAACTTGGCGAGGCGCGACATGGCGTTCTTGGCGTTGGCGGACATGCCGTTGAGGGCCGACAGTGACCCCGACGAGGACACAATCGTGCTGAGCGCCTCGAGAACCGGGTCCGACGAGGTTGTAGCAGACGGATTGTTGGTCTTGTAGGCCGCGAGTGCGTTAGTCCAGCCGTCGTTGATGGGCAGAAGAAGCGAGCCTCCTGTGATGTCGTCGACCTTGTCGTATCCAGCAGCGAATTCCACCATTCCCGCGGATATGTCCGCGTTGGCGCCCGTGTTGGTCTTGTTGCGGACCTGAGACAGCACGTAGGAGAGCTGAACTGCATCCGCGGAGCGCGGGAGGCTCGCTACCCATAGTGACGCGGAGAAAAGCACGGCGAGGGTGAGGGCGCGCGTCGACGATGGGGACTGGGCCATTGCTCCTGGTTTGCTGGTTCCAAAAAACGACTTCGGTGATAAAATGGAACTTGCTGTGCGAAGCAAGAAATACTCCCAAGGACAGTGTACTGAACTGATGGATGGAGGGAGGGGGCAGTCGAGATTGCCGGGAGGGAAGGAAAAGGATGTGGATTGGGATGAATTGGTGGCTGCATGCACTACGTGTCGTGAGATGATACGCCGACGTTTCAGGAAAAAGGATGCGGTTTGGTAGGAAATGTGTGCGCGCGCAGCGCATATGCTGTCAGGACCAAATCCCGCTCGTGACTGTGCCTCCCAGTGGATCGTCCCCGCCTCAGTTGCTGCTTCAAGAGGTTTCGGTGCGTTGCAGAGCTTTCCAGAAGGTTCAAGACAGGCAAAGCGAGAATGAACATCTCAGGGCCGGACATCGGTTCTCCCAATCCCACCCCACCCCCGTCCCGCCTCAACACACCCCGAACACTAGCGTTCCGCTTCCAACATATCGCGGGGATTTCACCACGACGAATCATGATGCGAAACGGAACTTCAGGCGAAAATATCGATACTGCGAACACATTCGTGCTCGTCGCTGAATTACCTCATCGGAACGAAACAGCTCGTAAAAGTTTTCGCGAGGGAAAAGGCATCTCATCTTCCCATTGCAGATGAGTGACACTCCGCGCAGACAAACCGGTGATCGCGGTGGCGCGGCCAGTTTCCGCATCAACAGTCGTACCCCCTAACAGCATTTTCGACTGCACAAAATGCACATTAAATTTTAAAACAACGCGAAACAAATATTTATCACATGCACAAACTTGATTATTCATCACGGATACCGGTGACCTTGATAGAGACCCAGGTCTGTATTATAGACCCGAGGGTCTACTAATGCGGGTCTTATATCCGGATAGTTACGGTATGCTTCATTCTGTTCTGCTATCTTGCTGTCGTGCTATTGTGCTATCTTGCTGCCATGCTGTCTGTCTGTCACGAGGATGAGGCCACCTATGATGCCGCCACAGATACCAAGTCATTGGCCTCCCTGCCACATGGCACCGTTGCAGCACAGGAATGGATAGTCAGCCACTTGAAAGTAAAATAGAAATGCCACTCCACAACGGTAATGCACCGGTTATACTCGTTCATAATAAGTGCAAGAACCAGCCATACTCATAAATAATATAAGCGTAACAACCAATCGCACCTTTCAATGCCTTCCCCAACCTCTAGCCATAAAAACCGCTCCAGTCGGATCGGTACCCCCACCTTCCTGGAAGCTCCTGCTAGCACTTCCTGTGGGACATGGGTTGGAGGGCGCAGAGCAAAATGGGCTCAGCAGAGCAAACAATCGCGGACAAATTCAGCGGAGAAGGGCACGGGGCATCTCGACGCTCACCTGCACGGTCCACTTCTCGTTCATGGCATGCGGCTGCTCCAGCAGCACCATCTCCTCGTAAAACTTGCACAGCCGCCCCGCCACCATCTTCTCCACCACGCTCCCTGCCTTGCCCGCTGCCACCGCCTGCGGGGCGGGGAGAGGGACGGAGAGAAAAAGAGGAGCGTTGAGACCTCTCAAAACACCACGCCCGCTGCCACAGCCTGCACGGGAAGCGCCACAAGACTACTTTCCCCATTGTGGCCTGAATGGGGAGACGGATGGGGAGGGGGACAAAGGAGATATTGAGCTGACCGTTTGCAATAGCGTTGACCCATCAGTTGGCATGTTGACCTACCTTTTTGTCAGAACTGGAGCTTGAATACATTGATCAACAAGAAAGCGCTAGGCCGTAAGTTACAAAAAGAGTTGGGTTGGGCAAGGCCAGGGAATGGATGGGATGGGAATCAAACCAAATCTTTACGGTGAGTTGGCAGATGGTTGAGTTACGGGGAAATCCCAACCAGATAAGGTAGAGATTACAAATCTGCACCCAACCCACAAATAACATACGTGATTTAAAATATAGTACACAATGTGTTGATAGCATATTTCTAACACTGTTGACTAGCGTTGACCCACCTGTTGACTCGCGTTAACCCACCTGAGCTCGCAGCACGTCACTCTCCCTCTCCACGACCTCCCCAGGCACGTCCTCCCGCCTCAAGTACAGCGGCTTCATTACACACACGTGCATTGCCAGTCCTCCTGCGACCTCAAAAGCAGCATCTACCACTGCTTGTGCTGGCACTCTGCACCCTCCCCAGCTGCTGCTGCTGGCGTCAGGCGGCTCATAATGTGAGAGTGAGAAAAGACCAGCTACCCGCCCCAAGCCAAATCCGGGGCTGCCGCGCTGGTGCGTGGCCACGGTCACCGTGCCAAACGGCTGAGGCGCGGTAAGCCGGAAGGCTCGCCGCAGGCGCACGTTCTCCCCTGTCAGCGCTGCCACCTCAGCCACCGCCTCTGCCAGCTGGCGGCTTCCCGACAGTTTTGGGTGGTCAAACCACACTGTGGCTTGCTGGTGGCGGGCGGGAATGAGGGACAGGGTTGGCGAGGGGAGTAGTACAAATGTTGCTGCCGTGTTGCTGCCATGTCGGCCAGTGTCTCTGCCTGACAGCAGCCCGCTCACAGACAGGTTTTGGTATTCAAACAACACCATGGCTTTCAGGTGCTGCGAGGAACGTGAGAGAGAGGAGAGGAGGGAGGGCGGGGTGGTGTGAGGGGTGGGGGGACGACGTGAGTGTCATGCAAGTGAGAAGAAGCGAGTGAGGGAGCATGTGGGTCGGACCATGCGAGTGAGGGAGATTGGATGTCCACTTGAAAAGGGAGGGAGGGCAGGTGAAGGGAAGGCAAAATCACAAACACCACGCCGCCAACCACTGCCATGCAAGCTATTGTAATGTTATTTAATGTCACACTCACCTCAAGGCTCGCTAGAGGGAGAGGAAAAGGGCGATAGGAGGAGGCGGGGGGAGAGGAGGAGGCGGGGAAAACGTTCAATGCTGCAGCTGCTGCCTTAGAGACCTGCAGGGTGGGAGCGATGGGAAGGAGAGTGGAGGGAGAGAGGAGAGAGAGAGAAGCGATAGAGTGGAGGGTGGAGAGGAGTATGGGAGGAGGGATGACAGGAGGGGTAAGAGGAGGGATGAGAGGCGGGGAGAGAGCGGGGTTGAGAGGTGGGGTGAGACATTGGACGGATGTGATGTGATGTGAGGCGGTGGAAAGGTGTGGCCCATGTGGGGGCAGCAAAAGATGGGGCCCATGGGCGAAAGGGTATACTTGGGAGCTCTCCGAGTCCTCTCAGCCCGTCCGTGTGGCAGAGATACAATAACGCACTCGCCCAGCATTTGAAGAAACCAGCTTCAGCCTTTTCTTCAGATATTTGTTTTTCGTCGGGCTCTCGGCTCCTCTGCTTCTTCTCCACTTCGCAGGCCAGCTTACAGGTCGACTCGTGAACCCCCACTCACTCGCGTGCACTTGAAAGGGTCGTTCCTGCTAGCAAGTGTAGTGTAGGCATCAACGTGAAGGCTAGTGCTTCACGGCTCAAACACAGCCCCAACAAGTGGCACTCACAAGCATCTGAAAGAGGTCGCTGCGTGCAACGAAGTCCGTCTCACTGTTCACCTCCACCGCCGCTCCCACGCCCCACCGCAACGCCACGCCCACCAGCCCCTCCGATGCCACCCGCGTCTTGACGTCCTTCAACGGCGCGCCAGCGCGCGCGCGGAGCTCCTTGATCGCCGCGAGGTCCCCCCCTCCGCCGGATCCCTCCGCGGCTCCTGCCCCCCCGCCCCCAGCTTGCGCGCAACGCCCGGCGCTGCTGCTGGCGGTGGAGAACGCGCGGGAGGTGGCGGAACAAAAGGCGGCGACAGCCCAGGGGAGCAGCTTGGCGCGCAGTAGAGGGCCGCTGACGTCACTGGCACACTTGGAGATCGCTGATGACGTCATCGACGCTTGAATCTGGACAATTGGACGCAAAGGTAACGGCAGCGCCTGGCCGCACGCACGCGCGTGGCGGGGCAAGAGGTCGAGCTACTAGAGGCAGTGGAGGCAGCGGAGGAAGCGGAGAGAAGCGGGGAAGCGGCGAAGCGGGGAAGCGGGGAAGCGGAGAAGCGGGGAAACGGAGAAGCGGGGAAGCGGGGAAGCGGGAAAGCGGGGAAGCGGGGAGGCGAGGAAGCGGGGAAGCGGAGAAGCGGGGAAGCGGGGAAGCGGGGAAGCGGGGAAGCGGAGAAGCGGGGAAGCGGGGAAGCGGGGACGCGGGGAAGCGGAGAAGAGGGGAAGCGGGGAAGCCGAGAAGCGGGGAAGCGGGCTGCGGGCAGCGCGGCAGGGGGAGCGGCAGTGGGCAACAAGCAGTGGTTGGTACCTACAGCGCGACGGATCGGAGAAAGAAAACGGCGATTACGCAGGCAAGCGGCGAGTGCGACAAAGCCGTATCAGACCAGCCATTCCTCACCTTCCCGACTGAAACAGCACTAAGCTGTCTGAGCTGAGTACCAGTAGAAGGCACTCTCAGAAGAATTGAAGGATGAAGGAAGCAAGGTCACTTTATTAAACAATCGTATGATAGTTTACAAATTTTTGGCATCTCCTAATGTACTAGGATAACAGCAAGGGCGCCTCGAGCAGGTCGCTCAGGTCGCTCAGGTCGCCATTCTGGTTTCTAAGACAAAGAACACGGCAGTGTCCAATGATTGTATTCATGACATCCGTCTAATGTCCATTCATAGAACCAATCAGATAAGCCTAGGATGTCACTATAGTGAAGAACAGAGGTACTTGGACTAGTCGTCGCGTCGCCCATGCTGTTGCCTAGAATAACGAGACAGGACATGGTGGCGAGGTTGCATGGGCCACGCCTCGTTCACGCCTAATTCTCGCCTAACGAAAGGCGACGCTGGCGAAGTCGGCGAGGAAGGGCCTTTGTTCAGTCGCATGGGTCGTGTGGGGCTAGTTTGCCACAGGTTGTTGTTTTCGTCTGCGCGCCCGCGTTCGCATATGTTTTCGCTAGGTGAATTGCCTGACATTTTGCTTTCGCGTAACGAAATTGGGTTTCATGTCGCCGATGGGTACATGCGCGAGAGGTGCGGAGCTCGGGTGGGGGACAGGGAACTGGGCTTGCCTGCCCCGGGTCCCGACAAGCCCCAGCTGGCGGGGTTCCAGTCCCCGAACCGTCCCGTCGCTGGGGGAAGGTATGGCGCCATCGTTCCCACGGGCAAAAGGGAGCGGCAACGGAAGGGATTCGTGTTGGCGAACTCACGGACGACGAGTTCGCTCTCGCCTAGTTACACTGACAAAGTTTGGTACCGTAGTGTACCACGCGGCTGTAATGTTTCAAAGGTAATGTACCGAAGTAGCGGCTACGCGCCCGAACCGAGCAGTTCATGTCGCGGCACTCCTCGACATTGCATGATTTTATGCGACCACAGGCGTTTAGGGTAACCAGACGACGCTAGTGAGCTTCCATCGCTGCTGTTTGAATGCATGCTCAAGCAGCTCAGGTTTGAATCACAACACTCCAATGGCCACACCTGAAGAAGCTGACGTGGCAATGGCGAACTCTGTGACGGCCACGGCCGACATTAGCGATCGTACCGAGATAGAAGTTGCACATGTCGCAGGCGACAAGCAAGTCGCAGAAGTCGCACATGCCGTAGGCGACTCCGTCGATGGCGTCGTGCATCCAGCCGAGTTCGATAAGGAGCAATTCATTACTGTCATCCCGCTACAGGCCCTCGCCGTGCCTGCTCGGCTGGCGCAACAGACCTCCCGCATCGTTCACGGGTGCGTCAGGATTGTGGGTGTCCAATGGGGCTCATGGGCTACCAGGTCGCATGGACGACCGCGTCGCGTGACCGACTGGGTCACATAGCGACTGAGGAACGTGAGTGGAGGAATAGTTGGCACGTGCGGGCTGGGCGCGCTGGCAGTACAGACGCACGAGGCTGCGACCATACCACTCGTCGCCACATCCTTCCTGCATACCTCCAGACGCTCCATTTCCAAATCACACACTTCCTTCCCCACAACCCACCCCCGTCCCCCCCTCACTCATCCCAACTCACCTCCCCACTTTCCCCCTCCTGCCCTTCGCTACAGTCACACCTTCGACCGCCCTCGCTTACGTCACATCCTGCCGCACCCCAGCGACGCCTCGCTGCGCCTCGTGCTGCTGGATGACGTCATCAAGGACGCCTCAACGGGTGGGTGCAACAAGCAAAGTCAGAATTTAGGGTTTGGGGTTTGGAAATCAGACCAAATATATTTCAGCGAGCCGTAGACAGCATATGAGTGAAGAAATGCCAAGGTTTAGGCGAGGGCGAAGGTTTGGGGTTTTTGAAAGAGGCAGGGGGACATGAATGGACTGCACATCACCGTTGCACCGCTGCACCACGCTGCACTGCTGCACTGCTTCAAGGTCCTGCCACCGGCAATTGGCAGCACGAGCAGCAGCGTGTTGAGTTGAGCCATCACTTATAATCTTGTCCGTCAGATCGCTCATCATCCATCCCACCGCACTGGAAACATGTTAAGAGTCGCACTATTGCCTACCACCGAGTTCCCTCATGCCTGCTCTTCACCAGATCTCCCACCGTCCATTCCACAGCCTGGGCAGTAGCGATTCACGAGACGTTCAATCTCCATTCGCTTACCGTTGTTCCTTCGTGTGCTTGTTTCGCACCAGATCTGCCAGTGGCTGTGCGGCAGCAGCTGCAGCAGGAGGGGCTGTGGAACGTCACCACGTACGAGCAGCGCCTTGACTACTCCTACTGGCCCGCAGGTCAGGAGCGCCTACTTCTATGGGCTCCATTTTACTTGTGCTGTTTATCCGTGTGTCCCTCGTTCCCAGTCGATCACACACACATTATCTCTCTCTCTTCTTTGGAACTCCGTTCTGGCTCGCAGAGGGTTGAGTGCGGTCAGAGGCGTCTCAGATGGGGTTGTTTATTCAATATAGTCACACTACCTGCTTTGGGATATCCGTTCGGGCTGTTTGATCGGGCATGCCATCATTGTCTGTCAACACGCCGGCCACAACCCCGTCTCACTCCCTCCCACCCGGCTTCAGACCACATACTGAGGAAGCTGCTGCCGCCAGGGGTGGAAGTGCCCACGGCGTTCGAGACTGTTGGTAAGCCCACCTGCACCACCCACGTGCCCACCACCCACTTGGCATAGTCACTGCCGTAGGTAGGCATGGTAACATGAGGTGTAACATGAGGTGTAGCATGAGGTGTACCATGAGGTGTACCGTGAGGCAGGTACCATACCTTGAGTATGTATGATGGGTACTAGTACTATAGCGTGTGGCTTGTGTTTTCTCAGCCCCATTACCTACCCATTGGGTTAGAAGGCGTCTTCTTGTGGTGCATGTGAGCCACAGCATGCATGTGAGCCACAGCATGCATGTGAGCCACAGCATGCATGTGAGCCACAGCATGCATGTGAGCCACAGCATGCATGTCAGCCACAGCATGCATGTGAGCCACAGCATGCATGTGAGCCACAGCATGCATGTGAGCCACAGCATGCATGTCAGCCCGTGCTGCCATCTGCTCGTGAGTTGCCGCACCTTCAAACCCATCCCCAATCCACCGCCCTCCCCTCCCTGTCCCCATGCCCGGCAGGCCACATAGCGCATGTGAACCTGCGCGATGACCTGCTGCCCTACCGCTTCGTCATTGGGAAAGTCCTGCTGGAGGTGAGGTTGAGGTGAGGTGACGAGGTGAGGTTGTGAGGTGAGGTGATGAGGTGGTGAGGTGATGAGGTGAGGTTGTGTGGTGCGCTTGTGAGGTCAGATTTACGGTGGGGATGCCTGTAACGCACTGGAATTGGTGCAGGGAGAAATGGGGATAGGAGAAGGTCGGTTGCCTGTAGGCTCCTTTGAGGCGCCTCAAAAGTCGTGTGCGACCTCTCGTTCATAACCTCCACATGGCAAGCTGTGCTGCCGTTTGCTTCCTCCTGCACTGCTTCCTCTGCATCAATCCTTGCCTCTTCTATCCCAAATCAACTCGTCCCACCCACTCCCTGCAGAAAAACGCCCCCCTGATCCGAGCAGTGGTGAACAAGAGCGGCATCATTGAGAACGAGTTTCGAGTACCCACGCTCGACCTCATCGCAGGGGAAGGCTCCTCCTCGCACCTTCCAACGTCCGTGCGGCAGCACGGCGCCACCTTCCACCTGGACTACGCGCGCGTGTACTGGAACTCGCGCCTCGAGCACGAGCACAAGCGCCTCGTGGACGCGTTCTTCAAACGAGGGGAGGTGGTGGTGGACATGTTTGCTGGCGTGGGGCCGTTTGCGGTGCCGGCTGCCAAGGCGGGGTGTGCTGTGCTTGCGAATGATCTGAATCCGGCCAGTGTGGAGTATTTGAGAAGGAATGTAAGAGTGAATGGGGTGGAGGGGCGGGTGCGGGCTTATAACGAGGATGCGTGGGTGTTTGTGAGGGGGGTTTTGAAGCCGCCCGAAGGGGGTGATGCTGAGATGGTGTCGAGAGGGGAGGAAGGGGGTTTGGAGGAAGGGAAGGAGGGGAAGAAGGGAGGGGGTGGGGAGGCAGGAGGGACGGAGCAGTTGCAGCAGGAGGAGGGCGGGAACAAGGCGAGAGAGAAGCAGAGAGCAGCAGCGAGGGGGGTAAAGAGAGAAAGAGGCGATGGGAGACAGGAGGGAAATCCGCAGGAAGGGGAGGGGATGGAAGTGGAAGGTTCAGAGGAGCAGAGGGAGGCAGTGGGGAGTGCAAGTGGGGGACAAGAGGAGGCAGAGGCTGGGAGGGGAGGCGCTGAAGGGGTGAAGGGGAGCGCACAAGGGCAGGTGGCGAGAGAAACGGGAGAGAAGGATTGCGAGGAGAGGGAGGTTGCTGGAGCTGATGGGGGTTGCGAGACAGCTGGCAGCAGAGACGGGAGCGAGGAGGGAGTGGGCCGAGGGGGGGGCGAGGGAATGCAGAAAGTAAACACGAAGGAGGAGAAAGCGGAGGAGGTTAAAGAGGGAGGGAAGCAGGAGGGGTTGGGTGAGGGTAAGGAGGAGCAGAATGGGGGAAGATCAGGGAGGAAAGGCAAAGGGAAGAGGAAGGGACGGACGGGAGGGAAGTGCGAGAGAAAGGATGGGGGGGGCATTGATGTGGCGTCGGTGGCGCCGTGGCGGCATGTGGACCACGTGGTCATGAACCTGCCCGCCTCCGCCATCACATTCCTCGGTGCGCTCCTTAATTCCTTCCCTGCCGTGATGTCATGTATTGAGTCGACTCAAAACGTTTTTGTTGATAGCACTTGCTGAGGAATCGAATGGAAGCCCATCCCTCTGCTATAATATGCATTCCCTATCCCACCACTACCCCTCATCCCTCCACATCCACAACTCCTCATCCCACACGGAGCTGTACTGCTGACACCTCTCTGAACGCCCCTCTGTCCAACCCTACCTACCCCCACCCGCTCCCCCATCTAGACGACGGTACTCTTTCTCTTGCCCATAGGGCACTTTTGAGAAGTTTCTAGAGTGACTTGCCCATTGGCCATCCCCCTATATGCACGTCTCAAACACCCACCTCTCGGACGCCCATCCTCGGCCCACTCCCCCATCCCTTCACATGCCCCACCCCGGCCCTCCACCCACTCCCCCGCTCCCCCCCACTCTCCCCTTGCAGACTCCTTCCGTGGCGCCTTCTCGCGCGCGCACTGGGAGGGCGCCCTGCCGCTCATCCACACCTACTGCTTCCACCGCTCCGGCCACTCTGCTGAGGCCGTCACGCAGGTGGGGGGCCGAGGGGGAGAGGGGTAGTGTGCAGGTGGGGGGAGTGGCAGTGGTGCAGGTGGGGGGGAAAGTGGCGATTGTCTCCCTTGCTCCCATGCTCAGGCATGAGCTTCATGGCAAGAGCTGCCTTGCATGGCTGCGGCTTGTGGGATGACAGAGGAGGACTGTTGGTGGGTGGGGGTATCGCTGGGTGGGCTGCAAGGTGATGGGCTTCACCCTCTCTTCTCCCATGAGGCTTGCTCCCCTGAACACACTATTCAGTCGTCTCAAGGCAATTTCCCGCGTGCTTGCACGCAATGGATCTGCCCTCCATGCATGCACGGCCAACCCGCCCCCATGCTTGCCTTTGCTGCTTGCCTGCACTGCGTGTGAGTTGACTCAAAGCAATTGTTCCCCATCCCTGCACACTGCGTGCACTGCCCGGATGCGTGGGAGGGCAGCAGGTGGAGCGGCACCTGGGCGCTGCTGTGGATGCCGCCACGCTCTCCATCCACCCTGTCAGGAACGTGGCGCCCAATAAGGTGATGCCACGTGCTGGTGCCTTCAGCGCCTTGGTGCGATGGGGATGTGCTGGGGGTGCGATGGGGGTGTGCTGGGGGTGCGATGGGGGTGTGCTGCGGGTGTGCCATGTAGTCTCTTGGGCTTTTGTGCAAGGGGGATTTGCTGTGCAGTTGAATGTGCCTCTAGGCATCTGCAATCTCGCCTGGCTTTTTTGTTATTGTTCCTAACACAGCCGAGACGCACCTTACTCGCGCCTAGGTGACAAGTTGACAACAGAGTCTGACCTAATCTGTTTCCTCTTCTCCACTCCTCTCCCCTGCATCACAGGACATGCTGTGTGTGTCGTTTCGGCTGCCAGAATCAGTTGCATTTGCGGCCTCATAGAAATTGCTTGAAGGAAGGTTACCCATCATGCCACACCAAGCAGCGAGATTGATGTAGGCAGCACTTACAAAAATTATACTCGTTAAAAAAACATCAAATAAGAAAACTATGGTACCTGTACTTCACACCAGTACCTTAATGAATGCCACATCATGTACCATACGTGCAAATATTGCCTATGAACTAGCACAGAAAAAAAAAAGGCGTGGTACTTATATACACGATAGCAGTATAGTATTTGCAGCCGCTCAATAAAACGGCCATGCAATGCAATAAAGAACCTAATGCTTCTGCAAGCATGTGGCCATGGCTTTCAGATCCTGCCACCACTTCACACAAATGACCCGCCGACAAGATCACGGGGAGGCGAAACCAGCACCTTCCTACCAATGCCTCACATATCAATTCTCACAACGCTCTCCTTTCAAAACAACGCTCTGTAACGAAACTTCCCGCACACGGCACCTGCCGGAGGCTGTAACGGTGGTAACCCTGCATGAGCATCTCCTCCGGCACCTCAACCAGGTGCCGTTTAAGTCTGCCGGACGCTGTCAAAGTGCTAAGCCAGCACACATCTCCTCCACCTCCAGCACCTCAACCACTACGCGGTGGCGTGCCTTCTGCGTCCTGTGGCAGATCACCCACCCACACACGCGGCTGCAAGCAGAGCGCACGAGCCGTGACTCCTTCCAGGCATGGCCTAACACCAAGAAAGCCCATTCAAGCCCACTTATGCGCTGCCCTTACTGCCCTTACCTTACTGCCCTTACTGCGCTTGCGGTAGTAAGGGCAGTAGAACTGGTGGGAACAGGTGGGACTCGCCCCTCTGTATGCCGTACCACTGCTAGAAGAACTGGGGCGGTAGAGGGGGAGAAAGGGGCAACAGCAGTGAAATGATTACCCACTGCGGCCAACGTGCCACCTGATTGAGCCGGTCCTGCTCCCACACGTGGCCGAACGGGTGGCACTCGCCCCTCTGTATGCCGTACCACTGCTAGAAGAACTGGGGCGGTAGAGGGGGAGAAAGGGGCAACAGCAGTGAAATGATTACCCACTGCGGCCAACGTGCCACCTGATTGAGCCGGTCCTGCTCCCACACGTGGCCGAACGGGTGGCACTCGCCCCTCTGTATGCCGTACCACTGCTAGAAGAACTGGGGCGGTAGAGGGGGAGAAAGGGGCAACAGCAGTGAAATGATTACCCACTGCGGCCAACGTGCCACCTGATTGAGCCGGTCCTGCTCCCACACGTGGCCGAACGGGTGGCACTCGCCCCTCTGTATGCCGTACCACTGCTAGAAGAACTGGGGCGGTAGAGGGGGAGAAAGGGGCAACAGCAGTGAAATGATTACCCACTGCGGCCAACGTGCCACCTGATTGAGCCGGTCCTGCTCCCACACGTGGCCGAACGGGTGGCACTCGCCCCTCTGTATGCCGTACCACTGCTAGAAGAACTGGGGCGGTAGAGGGGGAGAAAGGGGCAACAGCAGTGGCATGATTACCCACTGCGGCCAACGTGCCAACTGATTGAGCCGGTCCTGCTCCCACACGTGGCCGAACAGGTGGGACTCGCCCCTCTGTATGCCGTACCACTGCTAGAAGAACTGGGGCGGTAGAGGGGGAGAAAGGGGCAACAGCAGTGACATGATTACCCACTCCGGCCAACGTGCCACCTGATTGAGCCGGTCCTGCTCCCACACGTGGCCGAACAGGTGGTACTCGCCACTCTGTATGCCGTACCACTGCTAGAAGAACTGGGGGGGGTAGAGGGGGAGAAAGGGGCAACAGCAGTGACATGATTACCCACTGCGGCCAACGTGCCACCTGATTGAGCCGGTACTGCTCCCACACGTGGCCGAACAGGTGGTACTCGCCCCTCTGTATGCAGTACCAGTGCCCGAAGAACTGGGGGGGTAGAGGGGGAGAAAGGGGCAACAGCAGTGACATGATTACCCACTGCGGCCAACGTGCCACCTGATTGAGCCGGTCCTGCTCCCACACATGGCCGAACATGTGGTACTTGCCCCTCTGTATGCCGTACCACTACTTGCAGAACTGGGGGGGGCAGAGGGAGGGAGGGGGACAACATCAGTACTCGCCCCTCTGCATGTTGTACCACTGCCGGAAGAATCTGTGGGGGCAGAGGGGGGGAGGGGGACAAGATTGTGTATGTGAGAGAGAAAAATGCGTGTTGTGAAGGACAGTGCAGGGTGTTGTGTGATGCTATCATATGCATTCACGTCTGGCTGCCTCCCATCTTATATACGTACGTGCATGCGTTGTGTGAGCGTGTGCGTAAGAATTTGTGTTTGATGTGGTTTGGATTTTCTGAGTGTGCGTGAATGCTATATTTTTAGCAGATATCTGAAATGACTTCTTTGCTCGAGAGCTTTCCGACAAACCACTGATAGTTTCAATCGGAGCAAGAATGAGAAAGTTACGAACGATCGAAGTTCGTGTACTTTGATATTTGGTTGCGGCGACTTTGGAAATTTGTGGAGTGACTCTATATGGGGTACAGACTTTTGGGGGTTGGGAATTTCGTCACTTCTACTGTAGTTGCTGCCAAGTGGTTGGGAGAAGCCAAACCAGGTTGGCAAGTGTGGCCAAGTTGGGGTGAGGTGGATGGCATGGGTTGGGGAAGTGACAAAGGTCAAAGTTGGGGTGCCTATAGGGAGGCAATTGTGTGCCTATGGGGTTTTCTTGGTTGGGGACTCCCTTGGGACCTTCCCTCTTGTCCTCCTTATCCTTTCCTACCTGGTTTCTAGCCAACTCTAATGCTCTTGTGTGGTTCTTGGATGAACTATTGTGATTGAGTTAAGTTTCAGCTCCAGCATACCCCCCAAAACGCCGAAATTCATAAATCGAGCTATAATTCACCTTTTGATACAATTTAAATTGTGAATTGTAGCCACGGTCTAGAGCTACAGCATATATAAAATTGGTGAAGTTTTAACATTGCGCGGTTCGTCGACGGCGCTTCTTGTGGAGACGAATTTACTGTCCAGAATTAGTCCAACGATTTTGAGTTATTTCGGCCCCTAATCTTCCTAGACTCCGTCCTTAATCCTAACACGTGGCATCAGAGCTGATTAAGGGCTTTGTGGAGAGTCTATTGAGGTGTCAAGACCTTTCTAGAGCCACCATGGCCTGTGGGTGTGCCTAAGTGGAGTTTAGGAGGTTGGATGTGACTTCCGCTAAGGGGAAACTCCGCCGAAATTTCGTTGGCGCCGACACTTGTGAAAAGACTGTGGATCTACATTGTGGACAGCAAGGGGGGAGCTGAAACTCATCATTTGCGGAGGAGAAGATGAACGAGAGAGGTGGTGATGCTGCTGGAAGAGGAGTGGGAGCTGAGAAGGCACATGAACGGCCACCATCCAAGATTGAAGCTTTGGATGGCTCCAACTATGAGGAATGGAGCGGGCGGACAAGGAGTGCCTTCAAGCGGCACAAGCTACTGAAGTTGGCTATGGGAGAAGAGAAGATGCCTGAGGAAGGAGAGGCACGTGACCGATGGATTGAGAGGAGCGCGGTGCTGTACGACCTCATCTTAGAATCGGTCAACAACGACATGTTCCAGCACATCAAAGACTTGGTGTAATTGGATGGCTCGGGACCAAAAGCGTGGAAATTTCTACGTGACATTGTTCAGCACAACACGCTGCCGATGGTGATAGTGTTGGAGAAGGAGTTGGCGGCCATCTCCATGCGACCTGGAGATGATGTGAAGACGGTCCTTGATAAGATCAAGGACACATATGGCAGCGGCGGGCAGAAAGGTGTCGCAGCTGCAGTAGTGCACCAAGATCATCTCGGTGCTCGACAACTCGTGGGACAACCTCATCCCCCCCCTCAACACTCAGCGGACCAGTGGACACCCGAGTGGCTACGGCAGCAGATCCTGTAGAAGGACTCCCGCAGGCGTCATGTGGGAGGTGGTGCTGCCAACAAGACTGCTGAAGGATATGGAGCTGCAGGAGGCAGCAGAGGAAGAGGGGGTGGGAGAGGCCGAGGCCGCGGGAGAGGCTTTGGTAGAGGGAGAGGCCGAGGTGACTACAATGAGGGGCATGTTAGCTCTGGTGGCCGGGGGAGCACCCGAATGGAGGGTGCATGTTGGTACTGCAAGAAGGCTGGACATCCATGGTTCAAGTGTTTCAGCCGGCCTGAGGGATGGGCGCCCCCAGGCATGAAGCCGCTAAGTGGTGAACGCGCACAAGGTGTCGCTGTGCAAGGTTCAGGTGCACAAGGTGAAGGTGCACACCGTGAAGCCTCCCTTGGGATGTTCCTCATGGTTAAGGATGTGAAAGGGAGTGTGGGTGATGTGAGTTCGGTTGGGAAGGTTGTGATGCACCCCCTCACTTATTGGGTTATTGATTTGGGTTGCACAAGTCATATGGCCCCACGGGCAGAGTTGCTTGATGAGGTAAAGCCCCCTGGGAAGATCAAGTTTGTGGCTGCCGCTTTAGGTGCTTTGCTCCCTGTGATTGGTGTTGGGAATGCCAAGGTGATGGGAGCCAATGGGGAGCTTGTGGGGTTTGGGAATGTGCTGTTAGTTAAAGGCTTGTCCGCTAACCTTCTTTCTGTGCGCCAGCTGCAGAAGAGCAAGGCTGAAGTTACCTTCGGCCCAACCAGCTGCCGTGCGAAGCTTGGGAAGCTGTAACCTGGAGGAGGAGAGCAGCTGCATCAAGGACCTGTGGCAGCTGCCCATCATCCCTTGGAACGGGAAACCTCCACCAACGGCATTGGCAGCAGCAGCGGCTAAAGCAACTGCGGGAGGAGAGGAGACTGCACCAACTGTTGGGGCCCAGGATGCAGTCAAGAAAGTGCAGCAGCCACAGCAGCCATATGGTGAGGTGCTTGCTGGTGTGGATGGGACAGTTGCATGGGCATTGGCTTCATCTGGGAGTGGTGAGGCCGATCGGGAGACATGGCATGAGAGGCTGTGTCATGTGAACTTACCTATGCTGCAGAAGATGGTGAAGGAAGGGAGCTTGGAGGGGTGCAGAGGCACCTGGTGGCGTAGAGGCTGCTAGTCTTGGTGCTTTTGACTCGGCTAGCACAGATGCAGAGCCTGAGGAGGCCTTGCACACTTTTACTCTCGACTCAGGCGCGTCTCGTTACTTCTTCCGCGACAGCACCACAGTCACACCCCTGTCCCTGTCAAACTGGCCGACCCCTCTGGGGGCTCGGTAGTCGCGCGTGGCGCCACTGTTCTCCCTTGTCCGGCGGCCCCTTCCGGCCTCCTCACAGGTCTCCACCTCCCCTCGTTCGCTAAGAACCTGGTGGCTACCTCTGTCCTCCATGACCAGTGGGTCACTGTCACCCAGCCTGGAGGCGAGCTAGTGGCGATCTGTACCGACTCGCGCACAGGTGAGCACCTCGCCACGTTCACTCGGAGGCCTGGGTCTGGCCTATACACACTGTCCACTGAGTCTGCACTGGTAGCTGAGTCAGGTCAGGTAGCTGCGTCAGTTGAGGTTGCCTCGTCTTGTTCGTGTCGTCTACTCACGCACCAGACTCTCCTCTGGCACCACCGTCTTGGCCACCCTTCCTTGCCACGCCTGCGTGGCATGCACTCCCGTCTCCTTGTGTCTGGTCTCCCCAGGTCCCTGCCCCCGCTCCCGAGGTCGCTTGCACCGCCCTGCCTTCCCTGCGTCGAGGGGCGGCAGCGCGCCGCTCCTCACTCCTCCTCGTTTCCTCCTACCACTGCTCCTTTGCAGACCCTGCACATGGACGTGTGGGGCCCCGCCCGAGTCACTGGACAGGGTGGCGAGCGCTATTTTTTGCTGGTAGTCGATGACTACACGCGCTACACCACGGTCTTCCCCTTGTAGAGCAAGGCGGATGTCCGCGGTGTCTTGATCCGCTGGATCCGCGCTGTTCGTCTCCAGCTTCGCGCTCGGTTCCGTGAGGACCTCCCTGTCCTGCGGCTGCACTCTGACCGAGGTGGTGAGTTTTTCTCCCACCTCCTTGAGGACTTCTGTGGTGCTGAGGGCATCCGCCAAACATACACGCTTCCGGCCTCTCCACAGCAGAATGGGATTGCCGAGCGCCGCATTGGTCTTGTCATGGAGGTTGCTCGCACCTCCATGATCCATGCGGCTGCTCCCCATTTTCTGTGGCCGTTTGCGGTCCGATACGCCGCTGAGCAGCTTAACCTCTGGCTCCATGTCTCCCTCCCGGAGATCTCCCCCACTTTGCGGTGGACGGGCGAGGTTGGTGATGCGTCGGCGTTTCGGGTCTGGGGTTCCCTCTCTCTTGTCCACGACTTGCCTGCGGGCAAGCTCTCTCCACGCACTCTTCGGTGCGTGTTCCTTGGCTTTCCCACCGACGCACCGCCCTGTCTGTTTTACCACCCGGGCTCTCGTCGTGTGCTGTCCTCCCAGGACGTGACCTTTGACGAGTCCGTCTGCTTCTACCGTCTTCACCCCCACCGCAGTTCCCCGGTACCCCTCCCGCCTCTCTCCCTGGTGGACGACCCCCCCCCGGTAGCCCCCCTCCCTCCTCACGGTCCTGCTCCCTCAGGTGTGTCTCAGGTAGACCCACCCCCCTTGGTTGAGCCTTCGGAGGTCTCCTCAGACACCTCTGGCCCAGCTGAGGGGGGTGACCCGACTCCTGCTGCCACAGTGACCCCTCGCCGCTCTGCACGCTTGGCTGTCCCTCCTGGGTTTCCGCCTCGACCGTCTTCACCGCCACTGCAACCTGTCGCTGTGGACTCTGGTGCTGCAGGAGGTGGTACCACTGGGGGTGCTGGTTCTGGGGGTGTTGAGTGTCCTCTGGGTACAGGAGGTGCTGGAGGTACTGGTGCTGGTGGTCCTGCTACGCGTCGGCAGGAGGCTCTCTCGCCGGAGCGGCTGCGCGAGTGGGCTGTCCAGTGGGGCAGCCCTGGTGGTGGAGCTAGCCGTCTTAGAGTTGGAGGTGCTGGGACTGCTAGAGCTGGAGGT